TGATAAAGGCCATTCTCACTGGGTTATGTGATATCTCATTGTGGTTTTGATTTGCATTTCCCTGATGATTAGGATGTTGAGCATTTTTTCATATGTTGTTGGCCATTCTTCTGTTCTTTAAGAAAGTTTCTGTTCAAGTCCTTTGCCCACTTTTTAATGGGGTTATTTGATTTTTCTTCCTGATTTTCGTGAGTTCTAAGTATATTCTAGTTATCAGTCCCTTATCGGATGCATAGGATGAAACATTTTCTCCCATTCTGTAGGTTGTCTGTTTACTTTCATGACTATTTCTTTGGCTGTGCAGAAGCTTTTATGTGATCATGTCCCATTTATTTATTTTTGTTGCTGCTGTGACTGCCTTTGGGACTTCTTCATAAACTCTTTGCCTAGCCGATGTCTAGGAGAGTGTTTCAACATTTTCCTCTAGAGTTCTAATAGTTTCATACCTTAGGTTTAAGTCTGTTATCCAGCGTGAGTTGGTTTTTGTGAGAGGTGAAAGGTGTGTCCTGTTTTAGCCTTCTGCAGGTGGCTATCCAGTTTTCCCAGCACCATTTATTGAAGAGGATTCTTTTCCCCAGCGTATGTTTTGTCTGCTATGTTCAAAATTAGATGGTTATATAAGGATGGTTTTATATCAGGATTCTCACCATCTGGTCCACTGGTCCAATATTCCTATTTTTTGCAATACCATATTGTTTTAATACTACAGGCTTTGTAGTATAGTTTGATATCTGGCATATAATACCTCCATTTTGTTTTGTTGCCTAGAATGCTCTTGATATTCGGGGTCTTCTGGGGTTCCATACGAGCGTAAAATTATTTTTTCTATATCTGTGAGTATGCTGATGGGATTTTAATAGGTATTGCATTGAATCTGTAGATCAGTTTGGGTAGTATAGACATTTTGATGATATTGAGTCTGCCGATCCACGAGCATGGTATGGATTTACCATCTGTTTACATCCTCTGCTATTTCCCCCTCAGTGTTTCATAGTTCTCCTGTAGAGGTCTTTTACGTCCTTGGTTAAGTATATCCTAGGTATTTAATTTCTTTGTTGCTATTGTGAAGGATATTGAGTCTTTGATTTGGTTCTCAATTAGATTGTTGTTGGTGTATATGAATGCCTCTGATTTCTGTGTATTGATTTTGTATCCTGAGACTTTACTAAATTCATTGATCAGTTCCAGAGTTTCTTGGTTGAATCCTTGGGGTTTCTAGATACAATATCATATCATCAACAAACAGTGAAAGTTTGATCTCTTCTGCCCCTATTTGATACTTTGATTCCACTTTCCTGTCTGATTGCTGTAGCCAAGACTTCCAGTACTATGTTGAACAGAAGTGGAGATAGTGGGCAGCCTGTCTGGTTCCAGTTCTAAGTGGAATGATTTCAATTTTCCCCATTCAGTTATGTGTGGCTATGGTCTGTCATATGATGCTGTATCATTTTAGGTATGTCCCTTCTATGCCTATTTCCTTAAGTGTTCGTATCATGAAAGGGTTGAATTTTGTCAAAGCTTTTTCTGCATCTATTGAAATCCTTCGGTCTTTTTGTTTTTTTTGAAAAACAAGCACCAGATATATTCTCCAGCAAACTGGTATTAACTGAGTAGCACCTAAGTGGACACATAGGTACTACAGTAATAGGGTATTGGGCCGTGGGGAGGGGGGCGGGTATATATATACATAATGAGTGAGATGTGCACCATCTTGGGGATGGTCATGATGGAGACTCAGACTTTTGGGGGGACGGGGGAAATGGGCATTATTGAAACCTTAAAATCTGTACCCCCATAATATGCCGAAATAATAATAATAAAAAAAAGAATGGTCATTATAAAGGCTTTACGACCGACTTCTTGGAAATATCCCCTTAGCTCGGCATCAACAGAGAAATCTCTGGTAGAACCATCTTAGACTGTGAGCTCATGAAACCACTCCTTTAAAAACGCTGGTAAAAGTGCTGCTGTCTTTAGAGATGGTGAAATAATGGTGAAACAACACTTAAAATAATTATTTTTTTCAAATCTGGTGCTACCCACTCCTTGAAAAATCCAGGTGACCGTGCCTAAGCATAGATTTATCTGCCAGAACTGTTTTCCATTCCAAGCTGAGTAATCAAATCTCAGACTACAGTGGAATAAAACTAGAAATCAAGTCCAAGAAAATTTCCAAATCCATACAAAGTCATGAAAATTAAACAAACTTCTGCTGAATTATCCTTGTGTCAATGATGAAAGTAAAAATGAAATCAAAATGTTCTTTGAACTGAATGACAGAGGGGATACAAGCTTTCAAAAATCTATAGGATACAGCAAAGTCAGTGCTAAGGGGAAAATTCATAGCCTTAAATGCTTATGTCAAAAAGATAGAGAGATCATAAATTAACAGCCTGATGTCATATCTCAAGGAACGAGAACAACAAGAATAAACCAAACCCAAAGCTAGTAGAAGAAAGGAAATAACAAAGCTACAAATGGAAGTAAACGAAAGGGGAACAAACAACAAAACAACAATACAGAAGATCAATGAAACAAAAAGTTGGTTCTATGAAAATGAAATTGATAGACCACAAGCCCCGTGATACAGAAGTAGAAGAGAGAGGACTCAAATAACCTGAATCATAAATGAAAAAGGAGACATTACAACTGACATCACAGAAATCCAAAACATCATCCATGATTACTACAAAAATAACTAGAAAACCTAGAGGAAAAGGATAAATTCCTGGAAACACACAGCCTCACAAACCTGAATCAGAAAAGAATAGAAATCTTGAACAGACCAGTAACAAGCAGCGAGATTGAGGCATTTCTCCAGAGCCCCAGGCAACCTGGGGTCTTCGGGGCTTCCTGTGTGTGACATACAACATGCTGTGTCCAGTCCTGGGCGGCGTCCTCACAGGCTCTGCAGGAACTGGCAACAGCATGGGGCCCAGATACGTGAGGATGCTCCACACGTGGGTGCATCTCCAAGCCACAGGAAGGACTTGTCTGTGGCCTTTTCCTCACTTGTGGGAGCCAGTCCCTTCCCATCTACCCAGAGCTTGTCCCAGCAACCGGGCTCTGCAAGCAAAGGCTCGAGCTGCCCTCGCTGCTCCCTCTCCTTTCAATCCCTCCCAGCTCAGTCTGCCGGGGGGAGAGCTGCCTGCTTCTCTAAGGTGACAAACCACAACCATAGGCATTTTTGTGTTTTGAAATATGGAGACACTGTGGAATGGCTGAACTTTGAGCTAATTAACACACATCACCTCACATACTCAGTATTGTATGTGCTGAGAACACTTAAAACCTACACGCAATTTTCATTTACACAATACGGTGTTACTACGTCAACTCTTTCAGTTTCCACACAGAAGTAACATCATATGCTATTTGCCTTTCTCTGCCTGGTTTCTTGCACTTAACGCAATGCCCTCCAGCTTCATCCATGTGGTCACAGTGACAGAATGTCCTTCTGTTGAAAGGCTGAATAGTATCCCACTGTGGGTGTGCCCTGTTTCCGTCACCCATTCATTTGGATGGATTCCCTGCCTTGGCTACTGTGCATAAGGCTGTGACACAAAAGGAGAGAAAGCCTTCACCATCTGCCCACTGAGTGTGATGTTGGCTTTGGCCTGTCACGTGTGCTCTTTACTGTGTTCTGGCACATTCTGTCTGTACTTAATTGTTGAGAGTTTTTATCATGAAAGGATGTGAAATTTTGTCAAATGCTTTTTCTGCATCACTCAAGATAATCACACGGTTGTTTTCCTTCATTCTTTCAATGTGCTCTGTCATATTTATGAATCTGTGTGTGTAGAACATCCCCTTTGATCAGGGTGAACGATGATTTTAATGTGCTGCGGAGTTGGCTGGCTGCGTTTGTTGAGAAAGTTTGCATGTATGTTCACCAGGGCTACGGGCCTGTGACTGCATTTTCTTGTAGTGTCCTTGTCTGGTTTGGGCACAATGCTAATGCTGGCCTCATAAAAGGAGTTTCTGTAATTTTATTCAATTTTGGGGAAGAGTTTGAGATGTGTTCTTATTAGTTCTTTAACCACTTGGGTACCGCACTCACCGGCGGCGAAAGCTCGCCCGCAGCGGCGCGCAGGCCGCGCGGTGGTCTGTGCTGTGCACTGACGGCGCGTCCGTTTTGCTCTTGTGTGATGAGGAAAGCTTTAAAGCTTGTTTCACTTTACAGGCAGCTTTATTTGTCATGTAAATCAGAATAGGTAACATGCACATATATGTTTTCCTTACATTATTTTTAAATGTTCACAATTTTATTTTGATATGTGAAAGATTGGAAAAGTCGTATCACGGCTGTTGGCTAAAGCCGATGCTCGGCTGTGCGCCTTCATATCACGGCTGTCGGCTAAAGTCTCTGCGTGTTCATCTGTGGCTGTCGACTATAGTAGACGCTGGTACTGAAGTGGTTAAACGTTTGGTAGAATTTGGCAGTGAAGCCATCAGGTCCTGGGCTTTTCTTCCCTGGAGGACTTTTTAGTACTGATTCAACCTCCTTATTCATTATTGGTCTATGCTGTCTGCCTCATTCTTCAAGGTACAATTCAAATGTCACCCCTCTGAGAAGCTTCCTTAAATCCCTGCAGGCCCAATTGATCATGCTTTCTCTGCTTCTTCTAGTCACCCCATCCCCATAGGTAGAATGCAGCTCTGACACAAGCACCATGGCGGATCCAACTCCACCTCCCCAGCCCTGCTTCGAGCAGCTTCTCAGTAAATGTGGGCTGCACTCACTCAGGGCTCAGCGAACGTTCTGTGTAAAAGGCCAGATGGGAAATGCTTTAGGCTCTGCCAGCCATGGGGTTTCTGTGGCGGCTGCCCCTCCACTGCGGTAGTCAGAGGCAGCCTTGGAGGACACGCACACTATGTGAGTGAGTGGACGTGGCCGAGTTCCGGTGAAAGCTTATTTACAAACAAACTCTGCAGCTCCAAGTACTCAATAAATATGGAATGCACCAACTAGACACGTTTCCTTCTCACCCCCCAGTCACCTTGCACATGTAGAGTGGCCTCACTGCTGTGGAAGTCAGAGTCGTGAACCATTTGGTTAACCAGTAAACATGACTCTCAAGATTTTCAACTGACAGCAGACAGAAGAGGTGGCCAATGGTCTCCAGAGCTTCCTCTGCCACCTGTGTCAAGAGACACAATGAGTTTGCCTCAGCTCGTCATTCCTCTTGGTATCCCCAGGGCCTAGCACAGTGCCTGAAAGGCAGAGGGGGCCAGGCAAAGGCAAATGACAGAACCCTGTCATTACCGAGTAAGTGAATGGACAGGGGAGTCTTTTCTGATTGTCCCCTTTTCTGGTCAACAGGAAGAGGTGGCTGAAGAGGGTCCTTCTCCCCCCTGCAAGGGCCTGGTAAGTCAGCCTGTCACAAGCGAGTGGACACACACAGTCCCTCCCCACCTTTGGCTCCAGCCTCTCCCTTTCAGCCCATCCCCCAACCCCAGCTACCTCCCACTCACACCTTGCTTTTGCTTCCCAGGAGCTGATGATTGAAGAAAACCTGGAGGGTTTCTTCAGCCCTGGTGGCCACTTCCATGGGCGTTCTGTTTGTCACTTCCTTCTGCAGAGAGGCGTCGTCCAGGAGATCCTGGGCACCCGTGGCCAGTCCATGGAGCACTATGAGGGGAGCAGGGAGTTGGAGCTGCCATCACCCTTCCCTCCCCACGGAGGAAACAGACACACAGACGTGTGCACACAGTCCCCCCTGCTGCCCAAGAGGGCCCCTGGGGCCCTGTGCTGGCAACATTGCCCATTCACCGTCTCCCCAGCTATCCTCCCCTGATGGCACCTGGTCCACCCAGAGGGGCAAGGGAATGGGTGAGGCTGCCGACACTCCCCGCATCCCGATCAAGTTGGGTCCTGGCCACAAACCAGGTGACGGAGCACAACATCTGCTGACACGCTGGCCTGCTCCCAGCCACCTCCCGCCCCTTCTCTGGGCTTCTGGGATCCACATTCAGAGACCCCATCTTTTCCTGCCCTTCTTTGCTCCCTCCCTGATCCCCACAGAGCTTTCCCCACACCCCGACCCTCACCCTGACACAGCAACAACATGTCCTCCTCCCTGCGCTTATTCCTCAGCAGGCTCAGGATACGGGCCCACGTGGCATCCCGGTAGCTGTCTATGTCTGGGAGGGAGAGAGCAAGATGACACCCCCATCCTAGCGAGGGGGGCCTTCCAGCCATGCTGTAGTGTAGGAGGCCTCACTGATTAGGGGCCACGAGGCCTGGCTTCTGACCCTAGCTTTGCCGGCAAAGAGTCTGGGTAAGCTGGAGCAAGGTACTTCATTGACCTGAATCCAGTTTCTGCAGCTATGAAAGGGGACCCGACCTGGCTGCCTCTGGGAAGCAGCGCGGAAGGTGAAGCTCCATGTCGGTGTGAGCACAGCACACAGAAGCCGGGGGCTGCCACCACCTGCACACGCGCCCCCTTTCAGGAACACTTGAAGAACCAAAGACATGTGCTGTCTGAGCGCGATGTGAGAGCATTTGTCATGATCAGACCGGGAGACACAATGCCCGCCTCTGTTGCTGTGTCCTCTGTGCTGTCTGGTAGCCCAACCCTCGTGCCCTGTCCTTTGGAACCTGAGGCCCAGAAGGCCGGCTGACTCCCCAGCTTCTCTTTGGCCCCAGCTCAATTGGTCAACAAAGGGCAGGGACTGTCATTTGTCCGTGACTTGATTTGTTTTGGATTGAGGGACAGAAGTGGAATGGGTAAGAGAACCACTGCTGTCACCAGGTGCCACAGGGACAGCATGGAAGAGGAAGACTGTGTGGTGATTCTCTGCCTCCTCCTGCTACTCAATTGCCCTTCCAAGCCTCTCATCCGATCCACAGCCCAGTGTTCCCTAAGCAACGTCTCCTCACCGCCCCCTTCGCCCCTCCCGCCTCTGCGGAATGGGGCTTTCTGATCCGCCTTCTCACTCACCTTTGCAGCCCCCGGCCTCTGTGTGCTGTGCTCACACCGACATGGAGCTTCACCTTGCGCGCTGCTTCTCATACCCTAATACTCTTTCTTCTGAGCCATTCCTGGTCCCCAGGAATTGCTCCTCAGTTCCCATCTGCCCCACACGGAGCCTGGATTATCCCCCTCCTCCCCAATACCCCCAAGTGGTGGCCCAAGTGTCCACTAAAATGCCCAGCTGTCCCACTAAAAGAATTAGGAGAATCAAGACTCCCTACAGTGACCCCTCTCCTGCTGCCCCATCGTCTTCTCACACAAACTCTCCCAGCACAGGGTCCAGACCTGGGCGCAGGCTGAGTTCCTTCAATGCCAGCAGGAGGCTCCTTGGGGGCATCATGTTTTCCTCAATGTCATACAACAGCATATGGATGACCATTTCTATGCTGTGTGACTCCAGAGCCAGGAAGACTGATGTACACGCATCCTCCAGTTCTCCCTCTGGCTTCTGGAAAGAGAAGGACTGGCTGTTCCCAGGCTCATCCCCAAGACGAGTCCCCAAGCTTCCGAGAACCACATTTCATCAATAAGTGATTAAGACAATCACTTCTCTCAAGAGGGCAGGAGCTCACTCACCTCAACCCACCACCCATCCAACATTCACCTTAATGGTGCTGGAGGGCGACAGCTTCCTTGAGTGCACACAGGAGGATGAGAAGACAAGAAGGGACAAGTTCTCAGCCTGCAATGTCTCTGGCTTGTGTACTGGGGTGAGGGTGGGGAAAGGAGGTTCCAAAGCACAGAGTGTCCCCTGTAGCTGCGAGTGAATCATCAGGAAGGTTGATGGAAGTGGTGGAAGCAACTTTGGAAAGTCCCTGGGAGGTCAGTGGTCTAGGTCACCAGACAACTGTGCCAAGGGAAGGCAGGTAAACTGGAAGAAGGGTACCTCCCAAGTAGCAGTTATCCAAGAAAATAAGAAGGCAGATTAACCCAGTGTCAGGAAAGTTACTGCAAAACTATGTGGATGGATAGACAGGTTGATGGCATGAACATTCAGTGCAGAGGTGGGCTAGCACACTGGTGATGGATTTAAATAGCTTAGAAAATTGAGTGGGAAAACTAGTTGAGTCACAATAACGGAGGTGACCACCTATGGTGTCCCACAAGGGACACGATGCAAGGATGAAGTCACCTATTTAGGATATAAAATTAAGGGAGGCCAAAGGTGGCTAACAGAAGCAATGAAACAGACTGTGCTTGGAATACCCACCCCGACCTCATGTCGGAAAGTGCGGGAATTCCTGGGGTCAGTGGGATACTGCCGCCTCTGGATTCCAGAATTCGCAGAGAAGGCTTGACCCTTGTATGAAGGGTGCAAGGCAGGGCAAACGTGGAAATGGACAGTGCAGATGGAGAGTGCCTCTCGAGCCTTGAGAACAGCTATGTTAAATAAAGGCTCCGGCTCTGGTGCTTCCTGATCCTGCAAAGGAGTTCCACCTGTTTGTAGACGAGAAGAAGGGAATAGCCAAGAGAGTGCTCACACAGGCACTAGGACCTTAGAGGCGCCCAGTGGCGTACCTGTCAAAAAACAAAACAAAACAAAACAAAACTAGACCCAGTCGCAGCGAGATGGCACACCATCGAGATGGCGAATCGTGGCACCTGCTGCCTTACTGGTGAGAGACGCGTTAAGCTCACCCTGGGTCAGCATTTGCAGAGTGCCACGCCTCACGCCAGAGAGGGGACCCTGAAGCAGCCACTGGGACAATGGATTACGAATGCAAGGCTGACTCACTACCAGGGGCTTCTGTTGGACACTCCTCGCATTGAGTTCCGGACTCCTGCCATCCTGAACCCGGCCACGCTCCTGCCGGATCCCGAGCCGGAAACACCTGAACACAGTCGCCTCGAGATCCTGGCGAGACCCAGATGGCCAGGAAAGATCTAAAAGACCGCCCTCTTCAAACAGCGACCTGACCTGGTTCACCGATGGGAGCAGATTTGTCCGGGACGGACACAGGTATGCGGGGGCGGCTATAGTGAATGAGCGGGGCAATCTTATCTGGGCATCACGCCTCCCACAGGGGACAGCAGCCCAGAAGGCGGAACTGGTGGCATTGACAAAAGCCCTCCGCAGGGCCCAAGGAAAGAGGCTGACTGTATACACTGACAGTCGCTATGCCTTTGGGACAGTACACATACATGGGGCTCTCTGTAAAGAGAGAGGTTTCATCACGGCAGAGGGCAGAGAAATCAAACATACGCCTGAAATACTTCAGCTGCTAGAAGCCATTTTGTTGCCAAAAGCAGTGGTAGTAGTCCACATTCCGGGACCCCAGAAGGGGGATTCTTTTGAAGCCCGGGGCAACCCCGGGGCTGCAGACGCTGAGGCAAAAAGGGCTGCAGAGGAACCAGCACTAACAGATGTTCTATATTTGAGCTTGCCACCTCCTGGGATGGGAAAGATGCCCCCCAACCGGATTATTCCAGCACGGATATAACCTGGGCCAAAGAAAAACTGCAGGCAACACAGAGTAAGGATGGTTGGCTCCAAGATGAAGAGCATTGCCTAGTAGTTCCTGAAGCCTTGGGGATCCTCCTACTAGGACACTTGCACCAGACGACACATCTGGGAAAAAGGAAGATGTTACAGTTGCTGGACACTGCACAAATCAGATTCAAATCACAAGGAAAGACATTGTCCGGAACTGCCGTGTCTGCCAGATCATGCAGCCGGAGAGGATCAGAGGGTACCACGCAGGTACCAGGGAGCGGGGAAGGCAACCAGGATTATTTTGGGAAATAGACTTTACAGAGGTAAGGCCTAGAAAATATGGGTACAGGCATTTGTTGGTCATGGTAGACACCTTCTCAGGGTGGGTAGAAGCTTTTCCTACTAAAGGAGAGACTGCCTTAATAGTAGCAAAGAAAATAGTAGAAGAAATAGTTCCCAGGATCAGGCTGCCGGAGAGCATAGGGCCTGACAATGGGCCAGCCTTCACAAGTCAGGTCAGTCAAGGGCTAGCCCGGGCACTGGGGGCAGATTGGAAGTTACATTGTGCATATAATCCCCAGAGCTCAGGGCAGGTAGAAAGAATGAACAGAACCCTAAAGGAGACTTTGACTAAATTGGTCCTAGAGACTGGCGGAGACTGGGTGACCCTCCTTCCCTTCGCCCTGTTCCGAGCCGGAACACCCCTTACCATTTGGGCCTAACCCCCTTTGAGATTGTGTATGGTACCCCTCCACCTGTAATCCCCAGGGTGAGCCCTGAGGCTCTCCCGGAACACCCTAGAGGGGTACTGCAGGCTGTACAAGCTCTGCAAAGTGTTCACAGCCGAGTGTGGCCGGCCCTCCTGGCCATCTACCAGACAGCTGGGCCAGGGAGCAAGAGTATTAAACACTTGTATCACCATCACCAGCCAGGGGATTGGGTGTGGGTAAAATGGCATAACAGTAAAACCCTAGAGCCTAAATGGAAAGGACCCTCTCAAATTATTCTTGTTACCCCCACTGCCCTTAAGGTTGACGGGGTAGCAGCCTGGATCCACCACTCCCACGTGAGACCGGCTGGTGAGGACGAGCAGAAGTGACAGCAGGACGAGTGGAGGCGACAGCAGACCTCACACATCCACTAAGACCAGGCTGACCCGTGTGGCGTCTGCGGAGTAAACGAGACTACTGACTCAGATGCTGGTAGAACTGCTGATCGCCCTGCTAGGACTCGGACTGGGACTAGTTACCCCAAAGATTGGGACTAAGCTGAAAAGATGGGGTTTAGTATTGTTCTATGTTTCATATGCAAGTGCATTATGGATATCCTGCTCTTGGACTAAAAGTTTTGCAATTGTGATTAATAATGAGAACCCACATCTGCCATATAAACTTACATAGAAAATAACTAACTTAGAAACCTATGAGGTATATAATAGCACCTCAAAGGCAGAGCCACTAAACACCTGGTGGCCAAATTTATATTTCAATGTAGAAAAAGTCAGTCTCCTAGAAAAGCCGGCACAGACAGTACCATATCCTCGAGAGGCCCTGCTGCTGCCCCAATCCCCAGTTCTTAAGTAACTGGACTATGGAGGAAAAATGTGAAATAGACCTCTATAAGCCGGAATAGGTTTTACGCCTGTATGGAATTCCGGCCCCCTCAGGAAAACCGTCAGTGTGGGGGTATTAGAGTTTATTATTGTGCCAAATGGTGGTGTGTAATCACAAATGACAGACAGTAGAAATGGCAGGTACAACCTCTTTTCACTATAATATCCTATGTCCAACCTTGTACTAGAGACCGGCCTAACCCCCTGCTTAAGCCAGTCAGTCTTCAATGAGTCTGAAGAATACTGCATTATGGTACTAGTGTTCCCTAAGGTCATCTATCATCAAGAAGACACTGTCTATGCTGCTTGGACCAGAGAAGGAAAGGACTCCAACTTTTTTTTTTGTTTTGTTTTGTTTTTTTTTTTTGGTCCTCAGGCATCAGTGAAAAGACTCCAACTTAATTTTAAAAAAAAAAGGGAGCCTTTCACAGCAATAACCTTGGCCACTCTTTTTGGCCTGGGGGCAATAGGATCGGGGACAGGCATCTCATCCTTGGCAGTGTAGCGTAGGGGGTTCAATAGTTTAAGGGCCGCCGCAGACGAAGACATAGCCAGAATTGAGGAGTCCATCTCCCATTTAGAAAAATCCCTAACTTCGTTGTCTGAAGTAGTGCTGCAGAACCGGAGGGGGCTGGATTTAGTATTCCTCCACCAGGGTGGGGTGGTCCATGTGCGGCCCTAGGAGAGGGGTGCTGCTTCTATGCAGACCACACTGGGGTAGTAGAGAGTCCATGGCAAAGGTCAGGGAGGGACTTGCCCGACGAAAACGAGAGCGCGAGCAGCAACAAAAATGATTTGAGTCATGGTTCAACAGTTCCCCGTGGTTAACTACCCTGCTATCTACCTTGTTAGGACCTATAATAGTGCTCATGCTCATCCTCACCTTTGGGCCATGTATTCTGAATAGGTTAGTCACTTTCATAAGGAACGAATAAACACTGTGCAGTTAATGGTACTGCAGCAGCAATACCAAAGGGTGAGTCTTAAAGAAAACAGCTTAGCAATAGAAGAGATACAAGACCCTGGATACGAGCAAGAATGCTCGTAAGAACCTAGCGAAAGGGGAGAATGTAAGATACTGGGCTAAAAGGACAATAGACACCTTCCAGCTTCTGTTTACTGCTTGTTTGCCAACCGCAAGGCATTATGAGTGTACTATGGGATGCAGAAGAAAAAGACAAAGAGAGCAGAAACCTGAGTCTCTCAGCTAGGACCCGGAACAGGTCAGGGCCTATCGAGCAGGCTGAAGTAAGACTCACTGTGGGGCGGATGCATGATCAGCGTGCAAAGAACTAAGTTATAAAAAGGGGACTAACACACAAA